TTTGTCCTAGCTGTGAGTTTGAAATTTTTGTCTCAGAATTTTGAGGTGCTGTTATTTTTCCGTCTTGGAGGTTTTGGCGTATTTTAAGTGCTTATTTTATTTGTTTCTTTGGATGTCATCCACTTTAGGAAACCAGTTTCCTCTTTGGGCGTTTGGGTGTTTGTTCTACATCTTCATTTGAAGTTCCTTTTCCTTAATGGAAGAGGAGGTAGAAGTGAAATAGGTGATTAGTTCAGCCTTCTCGCTGTCATATTTGCTGAACAGACAGGTAAATCTGTTGACTGACTGATGGCCCTGTGTCTGCTGGAGCCTCAGGTTTGAAGACTGTATGTATGTTCAGGCATCACATCTGCATTCAGGACAGAAAGCAGGGGAAGGTACGGCCGCCTTCTGAAAGGCAAGGCTTGTTTTGTTTTGTTTTTAATTGTTTTTTAACGTTTATGTTAGAGAGAGAGAGAGAGACAGAGTGCGAGCGGGGCAGGAGCAGAGATAGAGGGAGACACAGAATCCGAAGCAGGCTCCAGGCTCTGAGCTGTCAGCACAGAGCCCGATGAGGAGCTCGAACTCATGAACCGTGAAATCCTGACCTGAGCCGAAGTTGGACGCTTAACCGACTGAGCCACCCAGGCGTCGCTGAAAGGAGCAGCTTTCCAACAGCCACCTGCCTTTGTAGGCAGGCTGCTTACCCCTTAAATTTGTTGTTGTTTTTAACGGGAGCCCTGGATGGGATACAGGCCTTTGTGTTGCTGGAATTGCAAGTCTCTAATTCCTGTTTCAATGTGAAAACTTTGTACATTTGTTATATTTTTTTTAATGTTTATTTATTTTTGACAGAGAGAGTGACAGAGCATGAGCGGGGAGGGGCAGAGAGAGAGGGAGACAGAATCTGAAGCAGGCTCCAGGCTCTGCACTGTCAGCACAGAGCCCGACGCGGGGCTCGAACCCACAGACCGCGAGATCATGACCTGAGCTGAAGTCAGACGCTCAACCAACTGAGCCACCCAAGCACCCCTTTGTACATTTGTTATTTGCATAAATATGAAAATTAAAATTAAACATAAATATACAAATAAACAGATTATGAAAAGAAAACAACCCTCCAAACCCACTTTTCAGTTTGGTGCCTATTCTTGTAAGTATGTGCTTAACACGTAACCTTAATTTTCAATATCAGTGTTGTCCTTGTTTGTTACCACCAGCATATGGGCCATACATATATATTACGACTCTACAACTAGATTTTTTTCCACTTAGCAGTATATACTAGACGTTTTGCCTATGTGAGGACATACAACTGTGCCTCATTCTGTGTAATGGGTATATCGTATACTATACATGTCATTCCCTTGCCCTCATCAATCCATCACCCACCTTGTATCCTCTGTGCTGGTGACTGACATCTAAGAACAGCATCATCTGGGCTTTGTTGCCCTCTGGCTTGGAATCAGCTGATAATAGACATGGACAGGGATCAGAGGGTGAGTGGTGGGAGAAGTCAGAGCATTTCTTATCCCCTCCCACCCCTTACTGGGGCTCCTGGAGCCGCTGTGCCCTTGGTAGTGATCTTCCTGTTGGCTGGCCTCTCTTTTCCAATGATACCCTTTGTTTCCTGCTCTTTCACCTTGAGGGCAAGAGTAGCTTCCTACTGTTGATAGTTCCTGGATGCTTCACCACCCGTGGTTGGTTCCTTTCACTCTACTCACACAGCTATAAAAAATCCTGTCATTAATTTCCTTCGGTTCATTCTCTGCATGTGCCATCTGTTTCCTGCCAAGACCCCAGCTGATATAGATGTCATTGTGTAGATGCACCATAATTTATTTGTTTGGTTCCCTGTTGATGGACATTTGAATTTTTTTTCTAGTATTTTGTTCTTATAATGAGTGTTGCTAATGAACATTTATGTACCTATTTTGTAAAGTATTTGTTGGAATGTTCCTTTAGGAAGAAGTCACAGAAATAGAAATGCTGGGCCAGGGTGCACGAATGTTGTAAATTTCAGTAGCCACTTACTTCCCCATTGCTTCTGAAAGAGTCTGCCATTTTACATTTCTACAGTGTGGTGTTTGGTTTTTTTAATGTTAAAAAATTATAGAGGTAATACTTGTGACTTACAACAAATAAACTTAACTTAGAAATATATAAAGGAAAAAGTACTTCCTAACATTGCATCCTATTTCCTGGAGGTAACCCCATCAACAGTTAGCTATGTATCCTATCATGTTTTTTTTTTCTTTATAAGATTTATATCCTTATCATAGAATACATTAATATGTAGATAAAGTAAAATCATTTATACATGTATGTATGTGTGCATATCTCTATTTATCTATCTCTACTAAGAAAGCTCATTTGTAGACTCTGTTCTATTGATCTGTTTGTCTTTTCCTGTGCCAGTACTCATCTATCTTAAGAATTACAGCTTTGAGTTGTTTTTTTGTTTTTTTTTTAATTTTTTTTAACGTTTTATTTATTTTTGAGACAGAGAGAGACAGAGCATGAACGGGGGAGGGGCAGAGAGAGAGGGAGACACAGAATCGGAAGCAGGCTCCAGGCTCTGAGCCATCAGCCCAGAGCCCGACGCGGGGCTCGAACTCACGGACCGCGAGATCGTGACCTGAGCTGAAGTCGGCCGCTCAACCGACTGAGCCACCCAGGCGCCCCGAGTTGTTTTTTTTTTAATTTTGTTTGTATTTTTATTTTATTTATTTTTAGTTTTTTGAGTTGTTTTGATATCTGGTAAGGCAAATCCTCATTATTTTTCATGAAAAAAAATTTCTTGGCTCTTCTTGGGCACGAAGTCTTTGGATTAACTTCAGATTTAAGTTAAAACAAACAAACAAACATGGATCTTGGCTGGAGTCAGACCGAATTTATAGAGAACTGACATATTTCCAATATCGAAACTTCTCACTTAGGAGCCTGGTATGTTTTCTTTATTTATTCAGATCTTTTATGCCCTTTGGTGAAAATCTTGCCCATTTCCTCCTAAGTTTATTTTTAGATATATTATAGGTTTTGTTGCCGTCATGAATGGAATTCTTCGTCTTACGTCTTCTCATCAGTTATTGTGGTATAGTTTTTAAGAAGATTTTTGTGGGGTGCCTGGCTGGCTCAGTTGAAAGAGCACGTGACTCAATCTCAGGGTTGTGAGTTCGAGCCACATGTGGAGTGTAGAGATTACTTAAATTAAAACTTAAAAAAAAAAAAAACCTGTTGAGTTTTGTAAATTAATCTTATCATCTACTTATTTGTTCTGATGATTTTTTCAGTTGATTCTCGGCTTTTCTAGGTGGACAGTTATATAATCTATAGTTGATAACTTTTTAATCAATTTATGTATAGTGTTTATACATAATTTCTTTCTCATATGTTATTTCATGGCCAAGATATCTTAGTGGGGTAGGGGGTGGTGATCCTAGGAAGTCTTCCTGGCTGATGTTACATTTAAGGTGAGCATCAGAGAATGCTGATCATCAGAGAATGTTCCAGGCAGGCCTTGAGGAAAGAAACAAGGCTGCATTCAGTGAGTTGGAAGAAGAAAGGCAAAGGACACAGACAGGGTTGGGAAGTGCAAGAGATGGGTTGGAGAGTAAATAGGGGTACAGTCAGAAACTGCTAAACTCTAAGGAGCAATTCCTTTATTCTAAAGGAATTGAGAATTTAATGAAAGATGTGTTAGGCAGAATGGCCCCCAAAGATGTCTACATCTGAATCCCTGGTATCCATAAATATGTTCCCTCATGTGGCAGAAGGGACTTTGCAAATGCAATTAAGACTGCAGACCTTGGGGAGCCTGGGTGGCTCAGTCAGTTAAGCATCCGACTTCAGCTCAGGTCATGATCTCACGGTTCGTAAGTTTGAGCCCCACATCGGGCTCTGTGCTGACAGCCCAGAGCCTCGAGCCTGCTTTGGATTCTGTGGCTCCCTCTCTCTCTATTCCTCCCCTGCTCATGCTCTGTCTCTCTCTTTCTCAAAAATAAGGAAACATTAAAAAAAAAATTTTTTTAAAGACTACAGACCTTAAAACAGGGAGATTATCCTGGATTCTTCAAATGGACCTGACCTAATCATATGAGCCTGAGAAGCAAAGAAGTTTCTCTGGCTGGGCACAGAAGCAAGATGTGGTAGAAGGGGAAGTTGGAGAGATTCAGAGTGAGAGGGACCTAACCCAGCGTGGCTGAAGGGGGCCGCGTGGAGCAGAGACTGATATCCGGCCAGGAGATGGGGACATCAGCCCTACAGCTGCTGGGAACTGTGTACTGCCCATAGCTGGAATGAGCTCGGAAGCAGATCCGTCTTCGGTGTCTGTAGAAAGGAACACAGCCCTACCGACCGACTCCTTGGTTTTGGCCCTGTGACACCCTGTGCAGAGGACCCTGTTGAGACACAGTGTACCGGGACGTTGGGCAGCCGGAGCTCTGAGACAACACATTTGTGTTGCTTGGAGCTGCCGGGTTTGCGGTACTTTGTTACACGTCGGTGGAACGCTAACTCAGCGGGGTTGAAGCAGGAGAGTGGCGTCAGAATAACGGACCAGTCCTACCTCCATGTGAGAATGGATCCGGGAGAGCGCACTTCGGAGGCGGGGAACTGTCTGTGGGAATGCAGCAGTGGTGTGGACTAGGGTAGTGATGGGGGGAAGGGGCATGACTCAAGACTTATGTGGGAGGTTGGAATCGCCACAATTTGGTCATTGATTGGATGCTGGGAAGGAGGGAGAGGAGGAACGCAGGGACAATTGCTGAGTTCTGGCTTTGGATGCTGAGTGACTGGTGGAGCTGTGTCTCAAGGCCAGGATGGGGAGCTTGGAGGATTGCTAGGTCAGGAACTCAGTGGTAACTCCAGGTGGTTCTTCGTTTGGAAATTCTCCTGTAAATACTTATTTTAAGATAGAGTATATCAACAAGATGATTGCTTTATCCTTTAAGACCTGAATTATTTTTTTGATTTTTTTTTTTTTTTCCTTTTAGGTCATGTAGGAAATTGTAAACCATGTGAAGATGGGACTCTTGGTATTTGTGCGCAATCTGCTGCTAGCCCTCTGCCTTTTTCTGGTACTGGGATTTTTGTATTACTCTGCGTGGAAGCTGCATTTACTCCAGTGGGAGGACCCCAGTAAGTATGGTCACCCCAGCCTGCCCCCAGGGAACGTGGGGTGTTCGCTGGGCTGCAGTGCCCTCACACCCTTCGGAGACAGGCAGTGAGAGGAGACCGCACGCTCCTGGGACTCAGGCTCAGAAATTGCCTCCCATTTTTGTGGCTGTAGGTTGAGATCTTTGATGTTTTTCAAAAACTGCATGCCATGGCATATCCTCTTATGATCTCCGTAAAAACATGCTATTCTGCAATAAAAGCCCAAACTCTTCCAGTACTTCTGGTTTCTGAATGCCGTGCCTTTTAATTACTAAAGTGCCTTGCCTCTCCCATTTGTATTCGTTGCCTCGGGGCTCCGTATCACAGCTGGTTTTCTTCTGTCCTGAAAACGTTCACCTTTACCTTTTCTTTGAATTTGCAGTTTTCAATTTAATACTGTCTTTGTTTTATGTTCCCTGAAGAAATTTTGTCTACCTAGTTATTTTGTCCTTGCTGGCACTGAACTTGTACCTGAATAGAATAATGGCTCCCCTCCCCACACCCTCCCCAGTACCTCCTAATCCCTTTCTCTGGCTTGTACTCCTGGCCTTCTATGTTACACAGTGTTTGCCACATAGTTCTCTGTACCCCTCTGACTTGGTTTCGACTCATGCAGTATGGCCTGTGCTGTGGTGTTTTGAGGCTTGTGGTCAAAGGGCTCGCATTGGGCATCACCAGCAGGTGCACATTCTCTTCTTGGATGTTGCCCGAAGTATCACACAGTGACCATATGTAGTTTTCCTTTTGGTTCTGTTTGTCTAATGGCTGGCTGAGCTCGGTGCAGGAAACACTGGGTAGTCTGGTCCTGATTCCTGGTGAATGTGACTTCCCTAAAATAGTTTTGTTTTTACAAACATTGACTGGCTACCAGTGTAGAATTCACTCGAGAGTCGAGTCAGTCTCTGGGTCTGAGGTTAAAATGAGTGGGAAGAGGCAAGTGGCATTGGCCTACTATTATTGTATTGAGACCTTGATAGCGGAACCATTCCTATGAAGTAATTCATTTATTTCTTACATGGCCCAAACTCCTGAAGCAGTTTCAAGCCAACTAAAAAAAAATTTTTTTTAATGTTTATTTAGTTTTGAGAGAGAGAGAGCAACAGAGTGTGAGCAGGGGAGGGGCAGAGAGAGAGGAAGACACAGAGTCTGAAGCAGACTCCAGGCTCCGAGCTGTCAGCACAGAGCCTGATGCAGGGCTCGAATTTGTGAACCGTAAGATCATGACCTAAGCCGAAGTCGACACCCAACCGACTGAGCCACCCAGGCGCTCCTCAACCCAATTTTTAAAATGTCGTGTTACCTCTTTAACTTCTTGTTTTACGTGAAATGTTTCAGTGCCTCTTAAACGCTTAGCTTATAATTTTCACTAATTACTTTGTCTTTCCAGAGTTTATTTAAATTTCTCTGTCCCAACTTATTTTTTAAAACAAGAAGACTACCCAGAATCATGTGTTTGCATCAGTGCAGTGCAAAATTCTGTAGTCAAAGGCATTCTCTATATCCATCATGGATAGATTTCATCTGTATCCATAAAATAGAAATATGTTCAAGGAATGGTGGTCTCCTTTTCTGTTGAGAACTGTTGACCTGTAGACAACATAACTAAGAATTAGATAATATTTTTGTAGAGAAGTTGAGAAGGACATTAACTTTATGGAAGACCTATCATATGCCAGGTGTTAAGCTACACAACTTATTAATTATATTAAATTATATGAAGTTAAATTAAATTAAAATAAATTTACTTCTCACTGTAACCATGTGGAGATGCTGTTATCCCTGTTTTCCAGCTGAGCAAACAAGGACTTAATTAAATGTTACACAGCTAATTATTAGAACCGGAACTGAATCCTGGTTTGTCTTTAAAACCCATGTTCCTTATTTTATTGAAAAGTATAATAAATACTAAGACTAAGGATAGGATTGAATTCTGTATTCTCATTGGTAAAAAGAGAGGAGAGGGACTCAGAGAAGACATAGCAGAGAGTGTCAGGACGGAGGCGGAGAAGAAAGAAGGAAGGGAAGTAAGGGGAAGGGAAAGAAAGGAAGTTCTCCAAACGAGCGAGCAGTTTATTGGCTTGGAGGTGGCACGGTGCTGTGTGTTCACGAGCCAGCGCTGTAGGCTTCAGTAGTTTATTAATAGCTGTCTGCTTTCCTTGGAGTGAATTATCAGCTGACTAACCACTATTTGCATCTTTTTGTTCTTCTGACACTCAGGCCTTTTAGATACTTGACTTTGAATAGGTCGTTTTAGACCGTCTTACTGTAGCATATTGTTTTCTGTACTGTAACATCAGAGAGCAGGGTAATATGACCAACTCTGATGGCTGACCAAGGCGGAGAAGTGTCTTTTACTCAATAAACAAAAGTCAGTTTATTGAGCCTCCTCTAGGAGATGGCCATTGTGTAGTGAAATTTACTGCTGCTGCTAATAATAATAAAATGAAAATAGTAATTTATTGAGTGTCTATGTGCTGTGATGGGAACTTTGTATTCATAATGTATTTGAACCTCATAGTTTATTAAGATTTTTTTTGTGGGGGGCTCCTGGCTGGCTGAGTCGGTTAAGTTTCTGACTCTCAATTTTGGCTCAGGTCACGATCTCATGGTTTGTGAGATTGAGCCCTATGTTGAGCCTGCTCTCTCCCTCTCTCTGCCCCTTCCCTGGTCGCATGCTCTCTCTCTCAAAATAAACAAACATTAAAAGTTTTTTTAAATTAAATTTATTATTATTATTTTTTTAATGTTTATT